TAAACCTCAAACCCTTAACCCTAAAACAGTGCACCCTGAGGCGAAGGCTGCTGTTTGGTTGATTGCTTTGGCTTCTTGATACGTTTTGGTTGCTGTTTCGGGTCTGATTGGGTTTTGGGTTTAGGGTTTTCATGAGGGTTTGAACAAGATTTGTTTGCTTGAATTGTCGTCGTACTGGTTATAGAGTAGGGAGTAAGGGAATACAGTCCCTATAGATTTTTTGCCCTCATTCCCTACTAAGAATCAATAAGTAGTGGTATGATATCTGGAAGGCTGTTGGGGAGGTGTTGTGGGGGAGAGGACAGGGGCCGTTATTGGGTTCATGGGGGCGACTCCCTGGGCCTATGGCGAGTATGGCCGAAGAGCAGCCAACACACAAGTTTTGCGAGTTGCAGATCGGCGGTGCCTCTTGTTCGAGAACTTCCCCGGTAAACCCTAAACCCTATAAGCCCCATCAACCTTAAGAAACCTTTAAAAACATTATAAACTTTTTAGGTCCTAACATCCTTATAAATCCTATGAACCCTACAAACCTTATAAGCCAACCCTAAAACCTATAAACCCCACAAATCCTGGAAACCAACCCTAAACCCTACAAACCCTATAAACCAAGCCTCAACCCTATAAACCCTGCACACCCTTACAAACATTAGAAACCCTATAAACTCTGGCTGACCTACCAGCCACCAGGATTGGGTGAGGTGGATTACTCGGAACTGAAAGCCACACGGCTTCAGTCCTGGGCCCCATTGCTGAAGCTTAGCTGCTGTTAAGGAGCTTAAATTCAGTCACCAAAATATGGGTATGAAGGGTTTAGGGTTAAAGTCACCGTAATATCGGTAACTAGTAAATCATACAGTTGCTTTATTGTAGTAATTTCAAAGGAAAAGTTCCTTACAGCAACCCAGGCAGAAGTACCTTACCGAGCGGGGTGCCCTGATGATGCTTTGCCGTTGTTCAGAAAGAGTCCACCCCTCAAGCCCCTAAACCCTCATTTTTCAGGCTCTATGATGATTACATACGGGTTCTAGTGGGATATGTAGCGGTGTAACTAAAGGGTTTAGAGTTGTCCCCCCCCCCCCCGCCCCGCAACTAGCATGGAACCCCGCATGGCCTCTGTAGACGGGACAGTGGTCTAACCCTTTCTAAACCCTACACGCGGTTGGGGGTTTAGGGTTTAAGGTTTACGGTTTAAGGTTTACGTAGGGTTTAGGGTTTAGCGTCCCCACGCCCTAAATCCTAAATCGCCGCACTGCTTAGGACGCTTTGTCACCTCATCAGCGCTGAGCAGAGGGGCAAGCTGCCATCCGGTCAGTGCTAGATACATTCAGGGTTTACGGTGTTAAGTTAGGCCCCAGTAAGTATTATATACTAGGAATACATAGGAGCTATGATATCATTGTATCATTACTATTCCCCCGCCGGTATTCGGCGGCTCCTCGACCTAAATTGGCCATAGTTTTCTTCCAGACTTTCCATCAACCCTAAACCAGGGACCCATAACAGAGGTCATGCGGATCATAGGACTGAGAGAGTGGAGGACAGGGCTCGTTGACTGAGGTTACTGAGGTTTAGGGTTTACGGCTACAAACTTTAGCCCTTACACCCTGCGAGCTGGAAATCAGGTCCATCGTGCTAGATTGAAGGGGAGTGAAGTTCTTCACTTTCAGAAGCTTATTGATTGTTGATCGTTTCCCCTTAATATGAAACGACGTCTCCCCCATCGCCCGCCCACCCCCCCCCCACCCCAGTAACACCGGGCCCCGAACAATGCATTAGAAGTTGGAGGGGATTATTGAGAGCATTAGATATGGCTGCCTCTAAAAACACCTGTGAATTGCAAGCAATTGAAATCCAATTAAGAAACCTACCAGAGTTAACGGAAATCACATAAATATCTAGTCAAAGCCAATTAAAATCTAATCGATATGCATCTAAAATCAGTCGAAATCTGGTTAACATTCAATTAAAAACATGACAACCTAATTATGGAGGGTAGGACGCATTGCGGGCCCATTTTTCCGCGCAATGACGCATTCTTAGCTGTAAATCCAATGACTGCAAAAACCTTACCGTCATGATGATGTGAACATGGGCCTGTAATGCGTCCCATTCTGCAATTCAAATGAGTTGAAATTTAGTTAAGATCTGCTTAATTAAGCCCGTGTAAACCGAATTACAATCAATTTACATCAAGTAGGAAACCAATTAAAATACTACGGAAATCTAACTTCAAGGCCAAACAAAATCCACTTAGAAGCCATCGCACAATTATGATAAAACGGAATACCAATTATATTCATGAAAATCTAGTTAAAATCATCACAACCTACTTAAGCAACTGAAATCCAATTTGCATCTACTGAAAACCATTTAGATTGAATTCGAACCCAATCAGAATAGTTACTTACGATTGAGCTAAAAGTCAGTTGAAGTCAAAGTAAAACACAATTAAGCACGCTTAAACTCGGTACAAAATTGACCTATCTGGCCTTTAGATTAGATATAGATTCCTTTATAACCTGCTATATGAAAATAATGAATGCCTGCGAAATTACGAGGCCTTTGATTTCCTCATTGCATCCCGCCTAATGACCTTAGAAATCCCCTCATTCAATATGAAGTAGTCTTCCCCTTCTGGAAGCGCTCTTCAATTTTTTACGCACCAGAATTTATTCATTATTCGAGAGGGTTTTGACAAGTATCGAGGAAGGGATTATCTGGGGGCCGGAATGGAGGCCTATGTGGCCCCCTATCATTCTGAATAACAGGGTAGTTTGCATTTGCATGTTCTTTTTCATTCATCCTCTCCTTAAAGCAGAACGCATAGAACAACTAGATCACCTTATGCATTTCATGCAACATGATGAATTGTTGTACACCTGCCTTAATGAACATGGAGCCGGCAAAAACAACGCTGGGGTCCACTTGCACACCTTCAGATAAACTGTCGCCATAACTTATAGGATCCTGAGGAGGCGGTGGTTCAAGGGGGGAGGGTAGAGGGGAGCCTTGGGGAACCTTAGGGAAGCTTAGGAAGTATAAGGGAATAATGGGGGATTACTAGGTTACCTACCCCCCTTGGACCACCCCCCCGCCCTAAGGACATCCTAAATTACGCCCTGGACCCCGCAAGGGAGCCGTGACTTTGAGAAGCCCTAAACGCTAAACCGGTCTAGGGTTTAGGGTTTAAGGACGTTCTCGTAGAATTGGATGATCGCGACATTCCTCCCCCTTGAAGAGGGCTCCAAGAGACCGCTTGAGCCCAAATCCCTACCCTGAACCCCTAAACCCTCAAACCCTGAACTCCCTGAACCTCTCTGTGATAAAAGGGTTTTGAAAACCCCCACCTGCAAAAGTAGGAGTCACATAATACTGATTGTGTCATCATGTGTGGGTTGGGGTATCAAGCTCCCAAAGCTCTAAACCCAAAACCTTATATATCAGTCTATAATCCCTACATGAATCCATGCACATTTGCTGTGTTGCCCCACTATGCAACCGAGAAATATTACAAAACCTCCGAATCCCTACCCCAAACTTAAACCCAAACTCCGAACCGCAAATCCCAAGGTCAACTGGCGACAGGCAGCTGCTGGGCTGTGTTAGGGACTCTTCAGCCAGCTCAGGCTTAGGTCTTAGGGGTCCTGCGGCCGGTTAAGCAGTTTGATTATGGGGATAGCTGGACTTGTTCATTGTTAGGATTACGGCGTCTAAGTGCGACAAGTATACTGCCTTACGAAGTCTCAACCGCTCCCAATAGGAGACAGGTCATAAGGTCCCCCAACCACAGCAAGGGATAATCAATGGTAGCCAGGCTAGGGGCCTTGTGATTTTCATACACCCCAAAAGTCCCTAAGCCCTAAACCCTGAAAGTCCCTAATCCCTAAACCCTAAAACAGAAAAGTCCCTAAACCCTCAACCCTAAAAGTAATTATACCCTAAACCCTAAAAGTTCCTAAGCCCTAAACCCTGAACCCTAAAAGTTCATAAGCCCTAAACCCTAAACCCTAAAAGTTCCTAAGCACTAAACCCTAAATCCCAAAAGTCCCTAAACCCTCAACCCTAAAAGTTCCTCCCTAAACCCTAAAAGTTCCTAAGCCCTAAGCCCTAAACCCTAAAAGTGCATAAGCACTAAACCCTAAATCCCTAAAGTCCCTAAACCCTAAACCCTGAAAGTCCCTAAGCCCTTAACCCCGAGTGCTAAGGGTTCTGAACATCTTCCAACGCTCCAAAGCGGATAGGCAGATGCAGTGTTTGGCTCCTGGACCGGCTTTTGGTAGGGTTTAGGCTTTAGGGCTTAGGGCTTAGGGTTTAGGTTTAGGGTTCTAGGGCTTAGGGTTTGGGG